ATGCATTTAATGTATCACAAAACAAAACCAAATTTAATGTGGCACAAAAAAAGAAATGTAAGAATTAAGCATGCATTATCAAGCAATAATCACAAAAAAATAAACAAATCGTACCATCAAACAATTGCATATTGGACTAACATTTGACTAACAAAAAGAAAATAAAAAAAAAGAAGCAAAAACAAAATGGAAGAGAAAAAGCAAAAATAATTCACGAACAAGAAAAATTACTAAAGCAAAAAATCTCTTCATTCTTCTCATCAACATCTAATCACCTATCACCTATCAATTATTATTAGTGAAAGAAGATGAAAAAAGACTCTGAACAAATGATAAATTAATTTAAAAAACCTATATTTTTGATTTTTTTTCTTTTAATCTTCTATTCGTTATCATTTATGACATCATAACGACAGAAGAAAAGATGTGAAAAGATAAAAAAAAGATGAAGAAAGACGCCAGAAAGATGCAGTGAGCGCTCCTTTACATTACTCGAAAACTTTTTTGTTTCTATACACCAGAAGTCTTATTTTTTAACAAACCTGAAGGCTCAAAATTACTAACGATCATTTCATAATACCTATGCAAAACACAAAGAAAAACACACACAGACTCACAGGTATCGACAATCGATGAAAACAACAACGACGATGACAACGATAATGCGAATGAAGAGAAAATTTATCGCTTCCGAAGAAAAAAGCAAAACAACTTTTTTAACACTGTTCCACTAATTTTCTTTTTTTTTCTTTCTCTATTATAAACAAATAAACTTCATTGATTGAATTTTAATCAACTTAGTCATAAGACTGAGACTTAATAAACATTGAGAAACCAAATGCAAAAAGCAGCAAAAATAGGAACAATAATAAAATTAACAATCGAGATTTAACACCAAAAAAAAAACAAATTCGTTAACAGTTCATCAACTCCACCTCACCACATCTTATCCACATATACTTTCCCAGCATCCCCTCTCAATCACACACAAAAAAAATCTTTCCAAGTTTTGCACTTTCTCCACTTAAAAAATCTCGACTTCTCCCAAAACACCTCACCAGAATGAACATTCAAAATTTTGACATCAAAACAACGACCAAATCACTTTTTACTGTTTCCAAACAGCAAGCAACCTCCAACCGATCATCATTCATCCGTCTATTCCTCTAACCATCCAAGACTGACAAAAGCAATTATGGGCCGCCAAACCGCACCAAAAACATCAAAAAAAGCAACAGAACAGAAATCGGCAACATCGGAACTTTCAAACAACAATTCATTTGAACATCAAAACTGACCAAAAAAAAAA